GTTCAAACAGGCACTCACGTAGTCTCAGACACTACTGCAGAGATGCCCCCTTCGTCCAGGACCCTTCGCGTGGAGAAGGCTTCCTGCAGGGCAGTATGGATTCCGTCTGCCGGCGCTGCTTGGGACGCATGCCAAGGGGCCTGTACCTGGGAGGCCTAAAGCGGCTGACGACCCGGACCTTCTTTTATGAGAAAAAGTGAGCGGGCAGATGATAGGGGTGTGGCTACCCCCCGGGTCCCCCCCTAGTCAGTAGGCGTAGTTAGGTTTTTAGGGAAGGTGGTGCACCTTTGTTGTCCCTACCTGTGCGGAGTGTGCAATCACGGTAGCACGCATAATATGCTTTGGAGTTTTTGGACCCAAGCGTAGTAGTGGTGCTCCGGTTGCCCTTCAGCCATGAGCCGCGTAGATGTCTTGGCGGATGACCGCGGCCTGCAAGGCTGCTTGAAGCTGGCCAACGTGTCCAACGAGTGGGCTGAGGCATTCATTGCCAAGCACCAAGTGGTCACCCTGGATGACTACGTGTATCTGACCCCCCATGAGAGTTGGGAATCAGGTGTGGAAACTTTGGTTAACCAAGTTCCCACCTTGAAGGACAACAAGATTTTGCACTGGCGCGCTTCCGCAGTGCCTTTGACATCGGCCGTGAGGCCCTGCGCCAAGCGGCCGTGCCCTCCAACAAGCAGACCGACTTGGACGAACCGCTGGAAGTCTCTCAACCAGGACTGGACGCGCCGCTACAACCTGCAGCTGGACCCTGCGCTGGAGCCTTGTGAAGCCTTGAGATCTCGCCTTTACAGGGAGTTTCGCAAGGGGCAGCTCACGGTGATTGAGGCCCGCAAGGTGAAGAGTGTGATCGCGGTGGCACAACCACGCACCCAAGGGTCTGTGACCCTGGGTGACAACTTGCACCTGGAATTTGAACGTGAAGAAGGAGTGCCCATTAAGAGTTGTGTGGAGTACTAGCAGCTGCGCGTTTTGGCGCACGCAATGGCATGGGCTGGCAATTATCAAGTGGACGACGAGGGTGCTCGCCATTGGATGATGGACTTATCATCCGCTCTGGGATATGCTGATGGCGCTCTGCGTAACTGTGCCGAGTACGCGAGTGGCTCCATGCTGTGGATGCAAAGGAACGACATCCTGACCAGGGGAAAGCTTGCCACGCATGTGAGGCGTGGGTTGCCAGGGTCGCTGGCCTTGAAGCAGGCCTTGCAGGAGACCCATTTGGAGTGGCGGTCACCTCTGGCCTCGCCGTTGGTCGGGTCTGCCGGGTCTGGGCACCCGGCGACCCCCAAACGACGGCCTGGAGAGGACACCCTCCCGGAGGGCGAGCCGGCAACCAAACGCCCGCGCACCCTCAAAGCAGACAGGTTTGCTACAGTGAGCATGGTGAAAGGTGGTAAGCGCCTGTGTAAGCCCTTCAACGACGGGCGTGGCTGCTCCAACGGGCAGTGTGAAAACCTACATGCCTGCGACGTGAAGTTGCCTAGCGGCAAGCCATGTCTTAGCCGGGCCCACACACGGGTGCAGCATGAGGATTGACTCCTGCGCCCTCGGGGTCTGGGTACCTCGGGGGTCCAGGGCCAGGCATGCAAGGATGACACGCTTAGCGGCATCCGGGAAGTTTTACTCCGGGCCCCCCGGGTAGACTTGCCGCAGCAGCACTCAGACCCGGCAGCGTTGCAGCTACGGGCGGCGAAACATGTTGCGTGGCGGGGTTTGGGTGACCTCCCGCAATTTGTTTGGGCTCGCCCACTGGTAGGTGCGTGGCTGGTGATAGATCTTTGGGCTGGCTTTAGTGGTCTATGCTTAGCACTGCTGGCAATGGGCACCCGCTTCCATGCGGTAGCAGCCGAAAACGACCCTATTCCTGCCCAGGCTACCCAGCAGTGCTTATCCCAGGTGGTGGCAGTGGACGCTGTTGAAAATGTGACTGGTGCTGTGCTCCGTCCATTCTTACAGCGACGAACCGTCCGGGGTATCATTCTCGGCGGCGGTTCGCCGTGCCAAGGCAATTCAGCACTGAACCCAGACAGGAAGGGCCTGGCCGATGTGCGGAGCCAACAACCGCTCCAACTCCGGCGTATTCGTGAGGAACTGGAGGCCCTCCCTGAGTGTCGCAATTTGGACATCGTGACCTTCCTCGAGAATGTAGCCTCCATGCCGCTAGATGTGAGGGACCAATATACTGAATGGGTAGGGTTCCCACCCATCGTGATGGACGCAGCGGCCTGCGGATGGGTGCAGCGGCGTCGCTTGCTGTGGCTCGGGTGTCGGGGTCGTGGTGTGTCGCCTGAGCGCACCCCCCCTGACGGATGGGAATGGGTCCAGCATTCAGACAAGCCTATCCCGGCCAAGGTACATTGTGACGGCGGGTTCGCGCCGCTCTTTGATGCTTCAGAGGTGGTTCGGGCCCATGGAGTTGGCGCTATGCACCCCTTTACAAGAGAGTTTTGGCACCCTACTGACCGGGTGAAACTGGTGGCGCCTGAAGCGGCGGCCAAATTCTTTAGTGACGATCGCAGATTTCCCCCGTCAGCATATGAGGAAGCTAGTCTGCTGTGGCGACAGCACGAATGGAGACAACCTTTCCCCGAGGAGCGCTGCCAAATGATGGGTCTGCCGGCCCAGTGCCTTCAAGCAGTTAATGGTCCACCGGCAGTTCGCAGACAGCCCCAGAATAGTCTCATTGGAAATGGTTTTCACCTCCCGATGATTGTGGCCTTGTTTTGCCTACTACCGGGCGCGCTGTCTTCGAAGATACCCAGGACTCCCTTGGATTTGGAGGAGGCGGCTTTGAAAGACCGCTTGGTTGGCACGGTCTGGGAACCGGGGCGCCTCGCCGCTTCACCTGGTCTGCTCTCTAGCGACCAGGTGGTGGAGGGCATGCGCTCTGCAATTTTCTCTGAGTTCACGGTGGAGCATGCAGTTTGGCATAGTGTCCGGCAGAAGCTCAAGCCACTGGCTATCTGGCAGCTCCAAGCTTTTTCTGCCTGGGCCCTTGGCCGTGGCATTGTCTTGGATTCCTTGGGACCTACGCCAATCCCCCGCCAGCACAGGGCTGAGCTCTTCGCCGGCTTGACAGGCCAACGCTACCCCGGGAATTCTCGGAAGGGTCTCGACCACCTACTCCCCCCTGGCCTCGGGAAGGAGCAGCATATGGAAGCGGCTGGCCGTTTGCCCTCACCCTTTCGGCTGCGCGAGTGGCCAGACCCAGATGTCGATTTTGTTTTGCATGCAGTGGCCGTCTGGCGACAGCACTTGGCGAGCTACTCTGCGCAGTGCCGCCGTGTTTTGACCCAGGTGAGCAAGGCTCTGCAACCTCTGGAGACTGCGCTGGCCACCTTCCGCTGTGTTAGCGCCAGTCGCGTGGCAGCACAAAAACGACCAGGGATGATGGCCTTCTTGACCGTGATGCTACGGTGGCCGGATTTGAAGCAGCCAGTTCAAATGATCCGAGGGTACCCTATAGTGGGTGATGTGCACCCAGTGGTGTGTTTCGGCCCATCCCAGGTCGGGAAGCTCTACCAGTGGCTGAGTGGCTGGGGCCTGAGGCCGAAGAAGCCATCCGGCGCATCGAGGGCTCGCGGCTTCCGGTTCACGCCGAGCGCATTTACCAGGCCACGCTGCTGGAACAGCAAAAGGGTTTCTGTTCGGGTTTTCTTACCCGACAGGACCTCGATAGGCGTTTCGGCCGGGGCCAGTGGCGACCGCTGGAGCGCTTTCTTGTTGTACAACCAGATGGGAAGGAGCGCGCCATAGACAACGCAAAGCGCTCCCTGCACAACCGGAGCACAAGCATGGTGGAGACAATTTATACGGTTAACCTGGACTTCATCCCAGCGGTCATCAAGCAGCTTGCCCGTCGACTACAGGTCACGTGCCAAGAGGATTGGTCTGTGCACCACCCTTGGATCGACTTCCGTCTGGGAGCCCCCAACACCTCCCATTCAGTGCTGTGGCGGTCTGGGTACCCCAGCAGGGATGGCGGTACACAATCCTATGGGGTTTGGCTTTTGGGTTGGAGAGCGCTGTGGTATCTTTCAACCGCCTTCCTCAGTTGGGGATTGCAGCAGCACGCAGGTGCCTCTACGCCATCACGGCGGCCTACTTCGATGACGAGCTGGCCCTGGAGGTGATCTGGCAAGCTAATGTGTCCCGCTTGGGGCTCAAGCTCCTTTTTGAAGCGCTGGGTGCTCCACCTCAAGCATCCAAGAGTTTTGTGCCCACGCCCGATCGCCACTATCTCGGCGCGGCTATCCATTTGGGTTCTGCCGTTACAACAGGCTGTGTTCGGATTCAACCTAAGTTTTCCACTTCTGCATTGTGCCAGGAGAGAGGGCTTAGGAATTTCACACGGTCGAGTGCAGCCGACTACAGCCGACCAGCCGACTACAGCCGACCAGCCGACTACAGCCGACCAGCCGACTACAGCCGACCAGCCGACTACAGCCGACCACAGCCAACTACAACCGACTACAGCCGACTACGGCCGACTACAGCGGACCAGCCGACTACAGCCGACTACAGCCGACCAGCCGACTACAGCCGACTACAGCCGACTACAGCCGACTACAGCCGACTACAGCCGACTACAGCCGAGCAGCCGACTACAGCCGACTACAGCCGAGCACAGCCGACTACAGCCGGCTACAGCCGACTACAGCCGACTACAGCCGACTACAGCCGAGCAAAGCCGACTACAGCCCACTACAGCCGACCGAGCACGGCGGACCAGCCGAGTACAGCTGAGTACAGCTGAGTACACAGCCGACTACAGCCGACAACAGCCGAGCGCAGCCGAGCACAGCCAAGCACAGCCGAGCCGCCGAGCACAGCCGAGCGGCCGATGACAGCAGAGCACAGGGGCCTTGCAGGAGCAGATTCTAACCAAAGCAGGCTAGCAGTAACCAAGCTTAACAATTTCTGACAATGAGAGCCATCAGATTCCAAATAAAGTGACATGGTTTAGTTGCATTCGATCACGTGACATTCCTTGGCCTCCTCTCCTGCACACAGCTAATTGTAGCAAAAGTGGATCATTTCAGTGCCTGGTTGAACTTCCACAGGTGTTTAGTTCAAAATAAACGAATCCAGCACAATTCCAAAGAACCAAATCATAGTTTGACATACTTTGACCGCGTTTTTCATGCAACTATTGAGGGTTTTGGGTACTCAAATTCTTTTAACAAATTATTTAATTTATTAAGCCCTAAGTAACATTAGTGAGTTTGGAGGCTAAAGGTAGCCTGCATGGGGCTGGTTGACCCTGTAGAAAATACGACACGCATCCAAATGCCATTCCGAACAAAAAGAAAAATCTCCAAGTCCCCTCTTAACTTCGAACAGCATGCTTCACAGTGGAGGTCCCCCAACTGAATTATAATTGCACGAACTTGCCATCAAAACTTTCAATTGCGGATCAGCATTTGGCAAATTTGCTGAAATTTATGGCCAGTCTGAGTCTGGGGACACAATATTTCGCAATGATTTGCATTAAGAATATTTGCTTGTGAAAGAACATGCTTGCATGATATATCATGATATTCATTTGAGATCTTCTCTGCCTGAGACCATATATCTATTGAGACAACCTGCGCACAAACACATGTACTTGTGACACTTATTCACTTTTCTAAAGTATTGCATGTGGTTTCTTAAAAACTTGAGAATACTGAACTGAAATCAAATAAAAATGTATACGATATGTAACTATTTACGATTTATTTGCATGTATTTAGTTGGCACATTCATGCAGTGTAGTTTCAATAACCTTTAAAATAGTTTGTTGAAAGTTAGTTCGCGGGACTGTTGGTGTCAAAAGCGAGGTGGGGAAATACGATGGTCGGACATGCTTGGCCATCGTATTTTTCCGCGTCGTTAATGCCCAAATTATTTTGCAAGTGACTGTGAAAGTGAAAGTGAAAACTGAAGGTTACTTTTTGCTTCTATTATATATATACATAAGATATGAGTAGTGAGTTGAATTTGCTTGAGTTGTATTTGAATTTACTTGAACATAGGGACCCAAGGTTTTCATATGTTTTTGCACCCTATCAGGGTTTTGGTGAATTTTCAGAGCATATGAGAATTCTGGAAATTGGACAGATTTATGCCGGTTGACTGAAAACCGTGCTCGTAAAACTAACGTCTTTGAGAACATGCAAGTACGTTACTAACTTCTTATTTTTCATGAAACACTTCCAATTAAGTTACTAACTTCTCTAACCACTTGCATGGGGTGGGGTGGGGTGGGGTGGGGTGGGCTATAAACATCCTTTCTACTAACAGCTAGAGATCTAAAACCGATTCAGAAACTAACGGCGATTCAGAAACTAAGATTCAGAAACTACGGTTCAGAAACTATTTCCACCGATTCAGAAACTGTCACGATTCAGCAACTAGGGCGATTCAGAAACTAGGGCGATTCAGAAACTATCGCAATTCAGCAACTATCGCTATTCAGAAACTATCACGTTTCAGAAACTAAGATTCAGATATCACGATCCAGAAACTACCACGATTCAGAAACCACGATTCAGAAACCACGATTCAGAAACTGTCACGATTCAGAAACTAGCGCGATTCAAAAAACCACTATTCAGAAACTATCACGATTCAGAAAGTAGCGCGATTCAGAAACTATCACGATTCAGAAACTATCACGATTCAGAAACTCCGGTTCAGAAACTACGATTCGGAAACTACCGCGATTCAGAAACTATCGCGATTCAGAAACTATTGCGATTCAGAAACTATCACGATTCAGAAACTATCCAGCTTCAGAAACTGAGGATAAGATGATATCAGAATTTCCACCCCCATGGAACTTCAAATTGACTTGGACTGCCCGCAAGGATCAGGTGATCTCAACGTTCCCACCCCCATGGAACTTCAAACTTTCCACAAGGATAAGATATATAAAAATCCCAATCCCATGGAACTTCAAATTGACTTGGACTGTCCACGGGGATAAGATGATATCAAAATTACCACCCCCATGGAACTTCAAATGAACTTGGACTGTCCACAAGGATAAGATGAAATGATATCAACATTCCCACCCCCATGGAATTTCAAATTGACTTGGGCTGCCCGCATGGATAAGATGATATCAAAATTCCCACCCCCATGGAACTTCAAATGGACTTGGACTTTCCACAAGGATAAGATGATTTTAAAATTCCCACCCCCATGGAACTTCAAATTGACTTGGACTGCCCGCATGGATCAGGTGATATCAACGTTCCCACCCCCATGGAACTTCAAACTTTCCACAAGGATAAGATATATAAAATTCCCACCCCATGGAACTTCAAATGAACTTGGACTGTCCACAAGGATAAGATGATACCCAAATTCCCACCCCCATGGAACTTCAAATTGACTTGGACTGCCCGCATGGAGAAGATGATATCAAAATTACCACCCCCATGGAACTTCAAATGAACTTGGACTGTCCACAAGGATAAGATGATACCAAAATTCCCACCCCGTGGAACTTCAAAATACCAACCCCCAATGGAATTTCAAATTGACTTGGGCTGCCCGCATGGATAAGATGATATCAAAATTCCCACCCCTATGGAACTTCAAATTGACTTGGACCGTCCACAAGGATAAGGTGATACCAAAATTCCCACCCCATGGAACTTCAAAATACCCACCCCCATGGAACTTCAAATTGACTTGGACTGCCCGCATGTATAAGATGATATCAAAATTCCCACCCCTATGGAACTTCAAATTGACTTGGACCGTCCACAAGCATAAGATCATACCAAAATTCCCACCCCATGGAACTTCAAAATACCCACCCCCATGGAATTTGAAATTGACTTGGGCTGCCCGCATGGATAAGCTGATATCAAAATTCCCACCCCTATGGAACTTGAAATTTGACCTACGCTTTCCACAAGGATCAGGTGATATCAAAATTCCCACCCCCATGGAATTTCAAATTGGCTTGGACTGTCCACAAGGATAAGATGAAATGATATCAACATTCCCACCCCCATGGAATTTCAAATTGACTTGGGCTGCCCGCATGGATAAGATGATATCAAAATTCCCACCCCCATGGAACTTCAAATGGACTTGGACTTTCCACAAGGATAAGATGATTTTAAAATTCCCCCCCCCTGGAACTTCAAATTGTCTTGGACTGTCCACAGGGATAAGGTGACATCAAAATTCCCACCGCATGGAACTTCAATTTGACTTGGACTTTCCACACGGAGAAGATGATATCAAAGTTGCCACCCCTATGGAACTTCAATTTGACTTGGAGTGTCCACAAGGATAAGATGATATCAACATCGCCAGCCCCCTTGCAATTTCAAAGTGGCTTGGACTGTCCACAAGGATGATGATATCAAAATTGCCACCCCATGGAACTTCAAATTGACTTGGACTGTCCAACACCACTTGAGGGAAGTGAACATGAGTTTCTTGGTAAAAAGGATGCAAATCTGATGAGTTTCTTACGTATCTGGCACTCAACCCTGCAGTCATTTTGCTGGTGCTGGCTTGGAGGTTGCAACCATATCACATAGGGGAAGTGACTGCAAATGAATATTCAGATTCAAAAGCAGCATGTTGAACAATTGTAATCCAATCCCCTTTCATCACGAGTTTCGCATTTCCAACTCCCTGTTCCTGTGCTTCCCCGGGTTTTAGTATCCGACTCCCGGTTTCCAACTCCCTATATGGATAGTTTCCGTTTCCGAATCCGCGTGTCGCGTGTCTGTCAGTTTCTGAGTCTTAGTTTCCGAATCCGTGTTTCTTAGTTTCCGAATCTTAGTTTCCGAATCTGCGCTTTTAGTTTCCGAATCTTAGTTTCGGAAGCCCCGTCCTCCTTAGTTTCCGAATCCTCTGTTTTTATGTTCCGAATCCTCGTTTCCGAATCCGTGTCTGTTAGTTTCCGAATCTTCGTTTCCGAATCTGCGGTTTTAGTTTCCGAATCTTAGTTTCCGAATCCGCGTGCATGTTCATTTCCGAATCCATGGTTTTAGTTTCCAAATCCGCGCTTGACTGCGTTACTAACTTCTCCACTTGCATGATGGTGTGGGCTATTAACGTCTTTTTCACAAACAACCTCCAACTGCGTTACTAACCTTTCTAACCACTTGCATGAGGTGGGATGGGGCGGGGTGGGCTATTAACGTCTTTTCTACTAACAACTGCCAAGTGCATTACTAAATTTTCAAATTGCAATTATGTTGTCGGCTCTTGTAACACAACTTGCAACTACGTTGTTATCTTCTCGATCAAGGTCCAACTACGTTGCCGACTCTTTAAAGACAACTTGCAACTACGTTGTCGGCTCTTGTGACACAACTTGCAACTACGTTGTTATCTTCTCGATCAAGGTCCAACTACGTTGCCGACTCTTTAAAGACAACTTGCAACTACGTTGTCGGCTCTTGTGACGGAACTTGCAACTACGTTGTTTTCTTGCCGATCAAGTTCCAACTACGTTGTTGACTTTAGTAACACAACTTGCAACTACGTTGTTATCTTCTCGATCAAGTTCCAACTACATTGTTGACTTTTGTAACACAACTTGCAACTACGTTGTTATCTTCTTTTTTGATCTTTTTTTGTCCTACTGGTACTATTGATGCAGCATGGTCTGCATTAAAGAATTACATTCCCAACAGTTTGTCCTCCCAAAGCCGCGATTTACTGTTGCACGCAAAATCTTGGCAATGGAGGTACATAAACCGCAGTGCCATTTTGCACTAAACAGCAAACCCACTA